TTTCTCGCTCTCTGTTGCAGCAAACCGGAAACCAGCAGCAAAAACTGGTCAGCAACCTTCTGGAGCTTTGTACAGTATTCTGGGACCAGTTACAAACAGAGGCAAATCGGGGCATTGCGATGGATTTCTCGACGAGGCGACTCGAGCATGCATGTATCCCTTATCATTCAAAGCAGAGCTGAGGCAATCCATCATATGTAGTTTGCATGCTAGTTCATTTGCTTATTTAGTTAATTTGTTAATTAGTTAATGTTGTGTAATAATTAGCTTGATTAGCTTAGATTAGCTAGTTGGTTGTGTATTATTCATTCAGACCCTCTGAGGAGGTCAATGTTGTAATAAGTGTGCGTGTGTGTGATGTATGTCTTCCAACCCCACATCTTTCTCCCTTTTACTTACTTTCGATGGTTAGTTTTAGGGCACGTTTCAATTAGCATCCTTATGCTCGCATGTTTGCATCCATTCATCTGTCTTGCATGCACCAGGCTCGGCGCATCATGCTAACTGCATTGTATTTCAATTCCAAGTTGAATACATGTATCGATTGTTGCATCTCATATGCCATTTTAGAGTAGCCGAGCCTATCTTAGTTGCATTTTGTATGTATTGCATTAGGCATTCTTGACATAGCTAGGATCATGCATTGATTTCTAATATAGCTTTTGTTTTGGCTCGGAGTACTCGGTAAGTGTTTATTCTTTAACATCCTTACATGCGTGTGAGTGACTGCCATAATAGCATGCTTGCCATGATAGCATGCTTGTTATGAGGCTAACTGCTTATATGATATAATTGCCTGAATGTCTGTGGGTGAAGGTTGGATTACTTGAATTGGAACAATTCATCAATTGCGAGTTTTAAGCCCACTTGAGAGTGGCAAATCACCATATTTTCTAAGCCCACTTTGAGGGTGGCAAAATCCGCATTTTAGCCTAGTTGCGAGTAGCAAACCGCTTTAAAAAACAAACGTGAGATGTTTTGTTCAAAATTAGGCGATCCAGTCTATACTTGTATATTGTGCGCATCACGTAGCAATTCTAGGCTAATAACCGGAATAAGAGCACATAATGTTTTCAAAACTCGATATCATGGTTAGTAGAGGCCGATCTTTGATTGGGCGAGCGGGAGTGCTCACGAAGTGACCTTTCCCAATTGTACCCATGTTCCCGAGCCAAGGCAACTTTGGTGATGACGGACACGTGGCCTTAGGCACGAGTCAAGGTTTCCTAAATTCTCCTAAAATAAAATATTTAGGTGGCGACTCTGTATCTGGCAAAGCAGTCTATGTTTGGCACTTCTTTCTAAAAAATCAGTTTTTCAAAACGATTTGTCGGATTTAGACTCTTTGATGATTCATCGGTCTTGCATTGCACTCCACGAAATTAGATACAGGATCATGACATTGAGTCCAAATGGTAGTAAGCCCAATGAACAAAACGGGATTTTCCCGGGACGTTCGGGGACGTCTACACTACCCTAAGTTCTTTGTAAGAAAGATATAGGGTGTTGAGGGCTTCCTTTTAATCTAAAGAATCTTGGATTTGGAGCACTTTGGTTTTTCACCATCTTCTCCTTTGGTCTCTTCATTTCGAGGTAGGGATACCCTACTCCATCTTATGAATTTTGTCTTTAATTTTGGCTAGTTTGATTAGTTGGTGATGTTGGATAATTTTGAAAAAAGTTAGGATTGTTGTGTAATTTATAAAAGAGGGGTTTTCAAATATTAAAAACCCATATGTATGTAAGACTTGGAAAATGGCATTATTAATGTCAAATTGAGGAAATTGAACCTTAGGGTTGATTTTTGGTAAAGGGGGAGAATGCCCTAATTATTGTGATAAATTAATTGGTATAATTAATTTGGGAAAACATGAAATTGGGAAATGATGGAATTATATGGTGTAGTTGAATTAATTTATTACTCACCTGTGAAAATGTTGATATTTTATCTGTTGATGCATTTATTTTCCGTTTAGAAATAACTACTTTGGGCTATCGGTGGAGGATAGTCTTGATTGTTGTAGACACTGTATGTTGATTAGGAAAAACTGAAACTAATCACATTGAATATGTCATTGAATATGACGGTTAGAACAACACCTCAAATACGCCTATTGATTGATTCCTGTATATGATAATTGTTTATATACGTGGACTATGTGTATTGTGTGGGAGGAGATAGGGGATGTACTCCATGGTTTGAGGGAAGATAGGGGATGGATTCTCGAACTTGTTTGGGAAAAGATAGGGGATGGACTCCATTAATACAACAAATATGTGTATTAAATTGAAGTGTAGATACAGCAAATATGTGTATCATTTGAAGTATGGAAGTGTTTTAATATGAGTTGTAAATCTCATGTGAAATTGTGAAACATGGAAATGTGTTAATATGAGCCATAGTCTCATTGAATTGGTTGGCCAGGTTCTGAGCCATGATTATGTATCGAAATTGTATAATTAAAGAAAATTGAAATAAAACATGGATATGATAGTCATGGAATTGTATTGTAAAATACATTGGTTTATAAGTGTTAACCATCGGTCAAATGCTATTAGTTTAGTCATTGCTCATATTTGGTTTAGTATATCTCTACTAGGCTGTGGCTCACCCTATATGGGACTTCATTTTCAGGTACAGATAGTATGCCACCTCCAAGGACGTAGCTTGGGAGGCTAGAGGCTGAAAGACTTTTTGTGTTGTCTTTTATGTATTACATGTAAATCAAGCCAAGGGCTTACTTTGTATAAAGAGTTAGTACTCTTCTTTTGTTGTACCCAAGCGTTGACTTGGAAAGTTGTAAGTCTATAGGGCATTTACTTTTGATGTCAACATGCAATACTTTTGTGCTTAATACTCTGATGAAATGAAACTATGCTTTATTCTCTCATGTCTAACATGTCAAAAATGTACGATTTATGGGCTTCTTTTGAGGGCGTTACAGACGTGGTTGTGTTACATTTTGCTCATATTAATATAGCTCAATGGACTCATTCTTTTGTTGTATACTTCCGCTTTTGGCCCCATTACCATAATTACTCTGTATGTTTGCTTGAGGCCAAAGGTAGTCAAGTGATTACCGGCTGGTTATGATCCAAACTTTTAGGGGTAGGTTCGAGTCATGACACCAGGTCCTATTAAAATGAAAATTATACAAAAAGATAGTCACTTTCATGTTTGGTTTTAATTTTTTAGATATAAAAGTGGGTTTCTCTAAATGTAAAATTATACATATTTGGGCAATTCGCAGTATAGAGGTTTTGGATTTTCCGTCCTTATGGAACAAATTTCACATTATGAACAAAAATGTAACACTCTAACGTAACCCACTAAAAAAACTCCTTGGTGCACTTTCCCAAACGTAACAACGTAACACTTCAAAAAAATTCATTAGTATAATTTTCTCAAACATAACATTCTAATGCAACACAAAAAAAAAAAAAAAAAAAAACTCCTTAGTATATTTTTCCCAAATGTCACACTCCAATTAATGTAATCCCAAATGTAACACTCCAATGTAACATATAAAAACAATAAAAATACTCCTTAATGTAACACTAGCAATTCGAAATTATATATTTACTCAAAACTTACCAAGAAATTTTTGTACTTCTTTTGGAATGGTTTGAAGAATCCCACATCTTTTTTTTAGAGTATTACATTGGAGTGTTACATTTAGGAAAAATACACTAACAAATTTTTTTGTGTTACATTGGAATGTTACACTAAGGAGTTTTTTTGAAATGTTATATCGAAGTGTTACGTTTGGAAAAAGTATACTAAGGATTTTTTTGGAGTGTTACGTTTGAATATTACATAGAGTATTATAGCTTGAAATTATACATTTACCCAAAGCTTACTAAGAAATTTTTGTACTTATTTTGAAATGTTTGAATAATCACATATTTTAAGTCTTTTTTTGTATTTTTTTTTGAAATGTTTTGCAAATAAAGGGCTATTTTGGGAAGTAGAATAAAAGCCACTTCCCAACTTTTAACCCACTTCTCTCTCTCACAAAAAAGTTTTAAAAAAAAACCAAAAAATAGCTTTTAACTATCGTCCCAAAACACTTCAAAAAAGATTCTTATATAAAAATTTATCCCAAATTTAATTCTCATAGATTGTTTACCTTACCTTCTAACCAAAAAAAAGAAGAAGAAGAAGAAGGAGGAGGAGGAGGAGGAGGAGGAAACATAATAAAAATAAGGATATAACCGTAAATTTAATTTCTAAGTAATATATTAAATCTACCTTTCCAAATTCAATAGGACTAATTAATCTATAAAAAAATTCATTGGAATTAAATGGATTATCATTTCTCAATTAAATGGATTTGTAGGTAAATTTTCCTTTAGTTTAATTACAGTGGCACCAACATGGTAATAGTAGGCACTTATGAGAACATTGTTGGTCAAGATCGTAGTCACTTTTATAACAAAATGAGATTTTGAATAAGATGAGTTGGAAATCTGACTAGGAGGATTAGATGAATGTGACAAAAAGATCATTACTGATGATAGAAGTAGAATCTTCAATTCTGGTGGACTTCTATATATTTCATTATTAACCAAAAATAATCAACAAAATTTGAAAGTATACATGCCTTATTTACAAGCAAATCAAAACAAGAAGAAGAAGATTCACAAAATTACAAAGCATATATTTCTGATTGTTTAAAAATTGAATTAGATTGAAACAGGTACAGTACTAGCAGTAGGTTTGGCAATAGTAGTTACAGCCTCTCTACATGCAGAGAGGTGAGGCTGCGGACATTTGACCCTCCCCAGACCTTGCAGTGACAAAAGCCTCGTGCACTGAGACTGACCTTTACTTGTTTCTGGATTTAGAATGATGGAACAATGCCATACCCGCCATCTGCCATTAATGTTGCGGAGAACATCTGATCAACATCAACTTCCACGTCAGTTCTCTTTGCAAACCGGCCTTTGATTCTGGGCCTGGTTTCAGCATAGGCCTTCCTGGAGGCATACCGGATTGTCTTCTCGAACTTGCGGGCCTTCTTCTTCTCCCTGTATCTTAGGACTCTAGCCTCCCTGTCCATTGGACTAAGTTGGGATGGCATGTGAAGAGGACTCGAGAAGAGGTCAATTGTCCCCTTGGGAGGTCTTGAGTGGGAGGCTGAGACTGAGACAGAGACATCATCACTCATTGTGGAGTCTGGAACAACACCAACATCCATTGATGAAATGGAGACCTGATTTCAAATGAGAAGATTGTTTGAGACACAAATCTAATGGGGGTTTGGACGCAAAAAGAAAAAGAAAAAAAAGAAGCAAACTGTGCATGGTAAGAAAAGTGATTTACTTACCCGAAAAGTTATCAGAAAATGAATTGTATGATGTGGGTCAGAATAAATCTGATTCACCCTACATTTTCTGACAACTTTTTGGGTCACTTTTCTCCTGAGGAAGGGAATGGGAATGAGACCAAATTGTACTCCATAGCAAGCAAAAGACTTTAGGAATGCTACATGGAAGTGGAAGATGATCTTTAGAAGACCGAGAACAAAATTATCAGGCTTCATACATTTCCTTAGGAAGATGGAACAAGAAAAGCAGAATATTTGCAACTTGCAATAACAATTCCACCACATAGTTATCAAGTTCTAAATTTTCCTGTGCCTTTTCAGTCAATTGAATGGACTGATCAAACTACAAACTTCCAGAGACTAAAAAAACAAAAAGAAAGAATTAACAATAAATTAGTGACAATTTGAAGACTAGAACTTCCTGTAAGTACATTTAAAATGGTCATGTCAAAAAGAGCTTGACTTATATTTATGACTTGCTGGTCAAAAAGGTCAAGATGCAAAATGGATATAACAAAAAAAAAACAAAGAAAAAAGAGCACTACAGCTATGCCAATAGATTCCGAACTTTTAAGGAGAAAGGAAGATATAAGAGAGGAAAAGAGCTGATGAAAAGGAAGAAACATCCTCTTTTTAAAGTTGTGGAACAAATTAAAGAAAACATATGTGTTCATGCTAAACAGTAAATTGAATGCCATGAAAGAGAAAGACCATCAAGAAAATATATACTCATATATTGATTTTTTTTAAAAAAATTATTACAATTTCGTAGCTAGTAATTACAAAAACATGAATGTTCAAATAGACCCAGAATACAGTTCTCACTTGCACCAGACTTGCTATGTTCTCTCATATAAGTAAAAATTGTGGCCTAGAATGCAACTCTCACTTGCTCCTCCATGATTTTGTAATTACTTTCTCTGGTTTGAGTGATTTGCAATCTTCCTTTATTTTATTTCATTTGCAATAAAAATAAAATTAAAAAAAACCCCTTAATCCTAGAGAATGCTCGTGAACAAATGAACAATTAACAGCATAAAATCCAACAAATACACATAAAATTGACTTGCGATAACTCAAATTTCATCAACTTAAATTAATTTAATTTAAAAAGGAAAAACTTACTGTGTGACTAATTGAAACAGGGCAACCAAACCCCGTCTCCATGCCCAACTGATAATTCTGCTGCTGCTGATGCTGAACAGGCACTACCCTATCACCTCCTCCTCCTCCATAGTTCTTCTGATCACCAATAACACCACTGTATTGATCTGTGAACTGACTCTCTTCACATGTATTGTAATCAACAAGGTCCAAGTACTCATCAATCACTTCTCCACCATACAAAAACCCATTACTAGTATTCTGATTAGTGTTGTTCTTCACAGGAACATTGTGTAACAACCATGAACCAGACTCGTCTTCGTCTTCTTCACCAATTGCTTCATCCTCAGGCTCGTTACCGAAGAACCCATCAGCTTCGGATCCACCCGGGTCGGTGGCGGGTGGGCCGAAGAGGCAGGCGGGTATGGGCATAATGGGGACGCGGTGGTGGCGGCTTGCTAGCGGATTGGCGGCGTGGATGTCGTCGTCGCAGGATGGGCAGAGGGAGGCGGCGTCGGCTTTGCAGAGGAAAGCCGCCGGAGCGCGCTCGCAGGCCTCGCACACACTCACGCGCTTGTGACGCGCCGCCACAGAGTTGGCGGCGTGGATGCGAGCGTCGCAGGTTGTGCAGAGGTAAGCGGAGTCGGTGCGGCAGTAGACGGCGGAGGCGGCCGAGTGGCAGGTGTCGCACACACGCTGCCAGTTGTTGGTGCCAATGCCTACAACATTACCGGTCCCTTCATCCTTCAACATTTTGCCTCTCTCTCTGTCTCTCTGTCTCTCTGGGTTTGTGTGGGTGGGGAGGGAGGGAGGTAACTGTAGGCAGTTTACAAGTAGGAGTTGGGGGAGAAGTTATTCATTGGACCAGGGTATTGGTGCCACAATAGTATTTTAAGGGGTACTTGAGGTAATTCCATTTTCACACATTATTTTTGTTGGCTTATTTTTCCTACGAAGGAAAATATCATAAATGCGAGCGTGTCAGTAAGGATTGAAAAATCTTTACAGATTAAATTCAAGCCAATTATCAAGTGATTGTGTTGACGGTTCTTTTGTCTCAACGAAGAGGACTTCAAAATTGTCAAGTGTAGAGAAAAGAAAAAGTAAAAGAAGAAAAAGAAAAAGGGACGGAGAAAGACGATTGAGTGAACAATCGAAGTAATAATTACTTACCTCTACTCCTATGCTTCGAAAAGAAAGTGCATGAAATGCTTCGAAATGGAAATGCTGAAAATAAATGCTTCGAAATATAAATCTATGTTAAACTACTCCTAAGATAAGAAAAATGACAAGAAATATTGAAATCAAGTATCTTTGATTTAAGTTCTGATCTCTTACAATGTAGCCATTAATGGTTATTTATAGAAGAAAAAATACAGCAATAACTACTTAGTAACTACCCATTTCTTCCATCTTCATTCTTGTCTTGCCATGTGTCATTCCACTCATCCACTTTGTCCTCCCACTCATCCACTTTGTCCTTCACATTCTCCATTATCTCTATAACTTCTTTTAACTTCCAAATGAATAAAAGGATGCCACGTGTCCTGCAATTATATAAATAATAAATAATAATAAAAATTACAGATTTATGGTGTTAATATTACCCCCCGCGGCCCTTAAAAATGATGTTTATTTGAATTTTTGAAGGGCCGAACCAAGCACATGACTAACCTAAATGATGTAACAACACCAATAAAGCGCTTCGAATGAGTATGAAATTATGACTAGATGACTCGAATTATTACTAGTAACAAGCTTCGAAAGTGATATAAAGGACCAAAATCATTCTTCGAAGGTCGATGGAACCGACAAAAGAAGAATTTCATCTTCAAAAATACTCGACAAAGCTTCGAAGGTTCACAACCACCATTATTATTTCTTCGAAACTGTTGTTGATGCAAGATAGAGTGCTTCGAAGCTTACAAAATTATGGCAAAACGGCTTTCGAAGCAACTTATGGCAAAACGGCTTTCGAAGCTATTTTTGGCCAACATTGTGGTTATTCAAAACTTATACGTTCTGGTTCACACATAATTAATGAAAATATTAATTTTGTGCTTCGAACCAATTATTAATTCTTCGAAGACACCAAAACTGTTGTTCTTCGAACCAACTTATCATGCCAAAAACAGGCATTATTCGACAACTAATTAATTGTCATTTTACATATATTTGAAGAGATGTACACATTTCGAAAGTTTTCAAAGTTTTATACAGTTTCGAAGGTGAAGTAATCAACCTTCGGAACAACTCTTGATGCTTCGAATGTATCTGGAGGCATTGGAGCGGCATAAGAGGCGCAAGACTGAGATTTTCATTGGTGGGTTGGGCAAGGATGCAAAGGAGGAAGATGTCAGGAAAGTTTTTCAGCAGGCAGGTGAGATTGTGGAGGTGAGTTTGGTGATGAATGATAAGACAGGTAAGAATAAAGGTTTTGCATTTGTCCAGTATGCTTCAGCTGCTGATGCTATGAAGGCATTAGCAAAATTTTCCAAAGTTGAGGTAACACATTTTGCCTCTATGTTGGTGTGTTGTTTACTTTTTATTAGCATGAAGCTTAAATATGTTAATGGTAGTGTATTCGATTGCCTCCTTTCTATAGTTGGACGTTAACCCTGGCTGAGGCCCTGAGCAGGTGCTTTGAATGATGAAATAATGGCGTTCAAATAGTACCAACCCTTGTAACCATTGTTTTGGATCCTTTTTTTTTTTATCAGTTATCACTATGCACAAGAACCTCAATGTAATATACCATAAGATGCGTTTGACTTTGGTTACTCTTCAAATACCTTTTATGATATTGTAAAACTGAGACACCAATTTTTGTGCCCTGGATTTTAATTGGTGTCTTAGGAATGCAGACATATATTTTTTCTTCCTTTATTTATATTGTGATGTTATAAAACCACACTCAGGATTTTTGAAAATAGTATTTGATTAATTGACTTCTTTTAGATTTTGTACAATTTTACACTCCTCTTGTCTTCATGGACTTTCTAAGTCATGAAGTCATCTTTGCAAGTATGCTCCTTATCATTTAGATAAAATAAACTGAAAAGTAAGATCGAAATGACACAAAAGTGAATTCAGGTAATTTAATTTTTCTATGTTAAACTACTCCTAAGATAAGGAAAATGACAAGAAATATTAAAATCAAGTGTCTTTGATTTATGTTCTGGATCTTTTACAATGTAGCCATTAATGGCTATTTATAGAAGAAAAAATACAGCAATAACTACTTAGTAACTACCCATTTCTTCCATCTTCATTCTTGTCTTGCCATGTGTCCTTCCACTCATCCACTTTGTCCTCCCACTCATCCACTTTGTCCTTCACATTCTCCATTATCTCTATAACTTCTTTTAACTTCCAAATGAATAAAAGGATGCCACGTGTCCTGCAATTATATAAATAATAAATAATAATAAAAATTACAGATTTATGGTGTTAACAACTTTCTTTTTTTTCAATATTTTTTTTTATTATATTTTTGTCTTAAAATTAAATTATCAAAATATTCTTTTCCCAAAACCCTAACTCTAACTCTCTATATCAAAAACAGAGAACAAGTTTGGACATGAATTCCCAATTAATATAAAGAACATCGGTAATTTTTTCTATATCATATCTAATTTTTTGTCGATTTTTTTTTTCTTCTTCTCCATTTTGTTGTTTGATTAGAATGGCCTATGTATGTTTTTTTTATTTATTAATATAATTGTTTCCCATGTTATCAAAAATATATATATATATATATATATAATCATCATTTTGCAATATAATTGGCCAAGCAATGATTTTCTGTAACTTCCACTCAACAATTTGGATCACTACAAATACAACTCTAAATAAAACTTTATAACGGAGAAAAATATACAATAATGCTAGGGATCATGAAAAATATTTCATAAAATTCATCATGAATATTTTTCATCCCTTGATTAGTGTGTAGTATTTTATTGTATGGGTAATCCAAAAGTGAAGAATCTTTCATGATCATCTTTATGATATTTTTTTCATGATCCCTATCACCGACGGCCATATATAATTACATTGTTGAAATTACAAACATGTAAACCTGCTATGTTCCCTCTAACAAAGAGAAATTGAACATCTTATTTTCGAGATTGATTTCGGCAATAGAGGTTGCGGAAGTGACGCCAACGAGTAGAGGGAGGGGTGGGGTAACGACTGGAAGTGAAATGGAGGGGAAGAGGTGGAGGTGTCGTCGGCGGCAGCAACATCAGTGGCGACTTGTTAGGGTTAGGGTTAGGGTTTGGAGGATGAAGATGGTAAGAGTATTTTTGGTATTGTAGGATGTGTATTGAGTGAAAGCTGATAATTTAAATTTATTTAGTGTATGTATTGAGAAAAAATGTAAAAAGAGAGGAAGTAGTGTGTGGAAATAGAATTTTCTATCATTTGGCAATGACTTTTTTAGTTGATGTTTTGATTTTTTTTTGGACTATTTTAGCCTGGAATTTTTTTAGTGGTTTGATTTTCTTGTTTGGATTTTTTGCCCTTTTGGCTTTGGAATGACAAATATTTTTTTGTCTTTTTGTGATTTTTATTCTTTTGTGGTTTTTTAGCCCAAGAGAAAAACCAAACGAGCACTCACTTTGTTTAGGCCCCGTTTGTTTTCAGAGGCAGAATGGAGGAAATAAATAGTGAGAGGATTGTTAGTGAGGGAATTAAGTAAAATTGTGTTTGTTTTGATGATAGTTGTTAGTGTAGGGATTGTTAAATTATTTCTGTATAAAATAAATATAAAATAATAAAACAAATAAAAAAAATACAAAAATATTAAACATTAATGTTTTAAAAAAAATGCCCAACATGTAAAAAATTTTAAAAAAAATAAATTCAGAAAAAAAAATAAATAAAATAATGATTTTTACTTAACAAAAAATACAAAAAATTAAACATTAATGTTAAAAAAAAAATGCCCGACATGTAAAAAATAAAATAATTTTTTTTTTCTAGTCCGCCGGACTATTTTTCTAATACCAAGTCTTGGAGGCCCATTCGAATCCTATCTGCAAGGCCTATCCTAAGCACTTCGGCTTAGCAGTCCAGTCTTCAACTCTGTAAACAAACAGCACATTAAATGGAGTCCACAACTATCCTAATCCCAATCCCCTCTCATACCCCCAAAACAAACGGGACCTTAGTTTGAGTTTTTTAAAAATTCTTTCAGAAATTTTACTTTTTTTTTCGTATTTTTTATTTTTATTGAATTTTTTAAATATTTTAAGTAATTTTTTTTTAAAATTTTAAGACATACTTAACATAAATACACTTAAAAAATATAATATTTGAAAAAAATATATTTAAAAAGTTAATAAATATCAAAAATACAAAAAAAAAAAATCAAAAATCAAAAAATTCAGTATATTTTTCATATGTACTTATTAATTTTTAAAATATTTTTTCATAAATATTTTATTTTTTAGATACATCCAAGTAAGATGCATTTAAATTTTTTTTAAAAATGCTTAAAATTTAAAAAATATTCAATAAAAACAAAAAAAAATAAAAAATTCAATTTTTCAAAAACTTAATTCAGAAAACTAAAATCAAACACACTGATTATGACTGATAAAAGAGATAAAATTTACGAATTTATGTTAGTTAATTAAAAAATATAAAATGATATGGTGAGTTATGATTAGCGTGAAATATGATGACGTGGTATTTCAAAATCAACTAATAAATTTGGAGGTACATAGGTTAGTTTGGGATTTGAGGTGGTTGTTGTGCAGTTAAATGGGTCTATTTGAAGACTCATTTTAATAATTTGAATCGTTCACATTTTAAAATATATCAAGTAGAACATACCTGTGAA